CGGGACAGACAAACGGATGGATTCTGCAGACGATGAGTAGGAAAAGGGGGTGCATGAATCACGGCAGCAGCCAAATGTTGGGAGGGTGAATGAGGAGCAGATGGCACAGAGCCCGAGCCACGAGCCGCAGATGTGTCCTGGATCATCATCCATTCATCCCATCACCTTTAAAGCACCGATGTGCACTTTATTCGTTTGGGCAATTAGGCAGAAATTTGTTTGCGCTGCATTGGAAAATGAAACCAGTGTAAAGTGCACCCTGTGGGAAAGGGTTTTCTAAACGGAGACATGGCAGGAGACGGGGAGCAGAGCTATACCTGGGAGAGGAGACTTCACTGAACACGGCGCTGGTTCCCGCAGGTGCCCAGGCAGCCCTCGGAACCAGCACCGGCGCCGAAGGGCTGCCGGCAGCGGTGTCCAGCGACTGCCCTACACTAAGCCTGAGGGCACTGCAACCCCCCTCCCCCAGAGCCCCCCTTCCCACCTGCGCACAAGCACACGCCTCCCCTGCACCTTCGCACCGTGCTCTGGTGGCCAGCACGCGCTCGTGCCCGTGGCAGCCTGCGGCATTCCCAGGGCATGGGTCCTGCCCGCACGCTCTAACACCGACCCTCTCGGCACTCTGAGACAAGAGCACGACTGCGTGCCCTTGGCCACCGTGCCGGGACACACGCTCGCCCCGTCTGCTGCAAGGCGCCTGCCGTGCGCACGGCACAGAAGCCTGTGAGCAGCCTCGGCTCCCACCCAGCGAGGCAGGGAGTGCCCCAGCAGCACACCAGGCTGCGCACAGGGAGCCCCACGCTGGCTGCTCTGCTGAGCCCAGCGCATGGGAGCCGGGGCGAACGTGGGAGCTTCCCCGATGGTCCCCCTGCCGGCAGGGGGCTGGGCTTCCTGCCCCCCACACTGCAGCTACCGGCAAGGAGACGGGTGGCAGAGGAGCCTGCACCGTGCCCACAGCAACCACCTATGCTCGCCTGCGTGACGCTGGATGGAGAGGAGACGGGACAGGACAGGAGGAGGCCGGGTGACAGGCGGACACTCACCGACCAGGATGAGGATGCACACCAGCAGCGCGATGAGGGCGCCAGGGCTCAGCGTTGCTGAGACGACGTAGGCTGTGCTGTTGCAGGACTGGATGGCCCCATTGCTGTCACAGCTGCAGATGCGGATGGTCAGAGTCCCCGTGCTGCTGAGGGCCGGGGGGCCGCTGTCCACCACCAAAATGGGGAGCAAGTACACATCCTGCTCCTGGCGATTGAAGCCCATCCTTTGCGTGTGCACTGCAGCCGTGTTGTCTGCAGGGAACAAGTACACCCACAGCAAAGTCACCCCCGTGGCACAGCCAGCAGGACGTGCTGTGAGCTCCTCCACACGTGGGATGAACCCCCGGGGTGCTGGCGGGCTGCTACCACTCGCACGGCCGTGGTTCGTGCCCCACCCACCCCTTCACCGAGCGCTCAGGGGCAGCCTGCTGCCCCACCCGCCAGCGCGCCCAGGGCACGGCGAACCCGACACAGCAGCACGTGGGTGTCTGAGCAGTGCTGGCAAACAATGCAGTTGGAGCACAGAGGGGCAAAACAACCTTCCCGAAGACCCTCAGAGATGGCACAGAGCAGGAATTAGGATAAAAATCTGTTGCCGACATGGAGACCCCCTCCAGACCTGACCCGGCCTGCTCAGCCCGGAGTGGCCGGGGTCTGCAGATGGCTCTGAACCTCCACGAGCCATTATTGCTGCCAAACCCGAGCACCGCGGGTGAAGGGCCCTGACTCAGCCGGAGGGCCAAACACCCTGGGGCCCTCTGCAGCTTCTGAAGGAGCAGGCAGAGCTCTGTCCAAGCCTCCCAGCTGGGCCAGCGGTCCTCTTTGCCGTCTGCTCAAGCCCCGCTGTTTCAGGGGCTCAGCCGGCACAGCATAACCCATTCCAATCCCATTAGCGCAGCCACTTAACGGGCCCCTCCAGGGCCCTGGCGCCAGAGATGAACCCCAGCAGCATCTGCGCGCAGGCATCCTGCAGCAGGGAGGGCAGGAATGGGGACGGAAAACCGGCGCGGCACCCTGCTCGCGTGTGCTCCCCCTGCCAGCGGGCAGCAGAGCGGGCGGGAAGGGACGTCAGGAGTCACTGCCAACTGCCTGCAGGCTTTATCTAGTAACACGTAGATTGGCCTGCTCACGGCAAGGTGCTGCTGCCTACAGCCTCTCTCCCCCTTGCACCTGATTTATGCTGGACTGGCCCCTTTCTGTATCAATCAGCCCTTCGATCGGGAAAGACATCTATTCCAATTCTGGCTCCTGGGCTGCCTGCCACCACGGAAATTGCTGTATGGATCGGGTGCTGCAGGGGAGCACAGGGGCACAGCAGGGACAGGAGGCGAGCCAAGAGCAGAGCCGAGGGGCAGGCACGCTCCGAGCTACCGGCCAGGCGGGTGACACGAGCACTCCCTACAGCAGGGAGGTGCACAGAGGCTCCATGCCGACACCTGCGGCATTGCCTGCCACGGCTGGGCAGCCCGACCCCAGCCTGGCAGAGACCAGCCCCCTCCGGCACTGAAACGGCTCCAGCCTCCTCCTGCTGCCCGCCGTGCCCACGGCGCCCCAGGCACCCCGGACAACTGTTTTCTCTGCTGGGTGTTTATGCCCCCGTTACTTGCAAGCTCCCCTGTTCCTTTCTGAGGGTCCAAAAAAGCAGTGCTGCTGCCATGCAATGTAGCCCGTGTGACCATGGAAGTGATGGAAATTTTGCCCCCATCTGGGAAAATGTATCCTGGAAAATGCATCCAAATCAGCTTCCCAGAAAAGGATGTAATTTCTCTTGGTGCAGGGGTTGCTTTACACGCAGCAGACCCGAGGCAGCTGCTTCAGGACATGCGCCTTGGTGCAGATTTGTTTGTACTGGGAGGGCCTGAGTGTTGCGACGAAAAGCCAGGCTGGCCCTGCAGCCTCTCGCGTCTCTGCCTCTGCAGCAGCTTTCTGCCAGGTCCATTCCCGAGGCCGAGGAGCAGCATTTCCCAGGAGGAGGTACTGGAAGTTGAGCAGACGTTAATCCGCAGTTTTCCTGCACAGGGGGGTTCGGATCCCCATGCTTTTGTTTTCCTGCCCAGCCCTCTCGAGGTTGCGCCCCGTGCTATGGTCGCGCCACTCCAAAGGCTGTGCTGTGCCTTCTCTGAAGCCCCGGGCCAAGCCATTTACTACCATTGCCGTCTTGCTACGCAAACTGACGCAATTTCCTCCTCAGGTTTCCTATGCCACCCTCTCCCTGACCGCATGGTGATGTCATCCTGTGTCGCATCGCATCACCGTGTGCGATGGACAGGAGTGGTGCCTCTGCCCGCCTGAGGGGCAACTCACCAGACAAGGCAGAAACCAGCGGGGGTCGAGCGTGAAGGACCAGTCCACGCTGCTGCAAGAGGCAAGTTTAGGAACACAACATACGCCGGTGGTGGTGCAACATCACCAGGAATAATACAATAATACAATAATTAAGTCTCTCAGACTTGCTCTCCAAAGAGGCTCTTGGCAGCTTCAGAGACAGAACCAATAAATCCTTCTCGTAACTCAATCTCGAGCAGCGCTGGGAGAGCAGAAGGGAGCAAGCGACCTCCAGTTTGGATTCTGATACCCTCGCCCTCTCCCACACTGCTGGGGCCACACGAGCGTCTGCCTTCCCCCTCCTCGGCAGCGGTTCTGCAGGCCTGGTCCTGGGAACGCCGGCTCCGGGGAGGTGCACGTGGCTCCCAGCCGGGCCCGTGGCCACGCTGCTGCTGGAGCTGCCCCAAAGGAGCAGACCCCTGCTCCAGCCCCAGGTGGGCACAGCTGGCAGGAGACGAATCTGATTTTTCTCTTTTGCCTCTTCCTTCTCCCAGGTTCTGTGGGTGCCAGGCCACACCACCACCGCTGCTGCTCATCCACCTCCTGCTTAGCCCCTGCGCTGGTCTGACGCTCTTTTCCACCCTCTGGTCAGATCAGCGCCTGCGCTGCTCGTGCTGAGAACGGCATCCCTGCAGGGTTGGAGGAGGCTTCCTCTACCCCGAGGCAATCCTCGAATCCTAATGTTTTGCTTCTGATTGATTGTTACAATTTTCAGATCTTCCTTCACCCATTACATGCTCTTAATGAGACCTGCAGAGAGTTCAGGCATCTGCTTGCCCAGCCCTTGAGCTCCGGAGTCAGCAGCTCCACGTGTCGCTCCGTATTACCTCTCACCCCTTCCAGGTTGCTGGGCTTGGATACTTTCTACCATCCCTTCCAACCAATTAGTGATTCTTGGAGAATGCGATTTCAGGCTTTAATTGCCTTTGATCCTTCTGTAATCAATTTTCTCAGGCCAGAAGGATCCAGCAAAAGGCGAGTTAGGAGGCAGAGGATGGTGAATGCCTTTGGAACGGCACCAGTGGGACCTGGGTGAGGTCAGCTTTTCCAGTTCTGTCTCTTCCCTCGGGCACTACCTTTGCTGGGCATCTTCCTCCTGGATCAGGGCTGCTGTTGCCACGTGTGACATTTATTCCTTATCTGATGAATTAGGAAGTGCTTGAGCACTCCCTTGGACAGAGCGAAGGCAAGGCGAGGTGCCAGCAGGGCACAGCACTCTTTCTAAACGCCCAACTCCTGCAACCCAGCTGTAACTCCGCTAATGCAAGGTCCCGCACGGGGCCACCCTCCGACCCGGCGCGTCAGAGACAAGGCAGCTCTGCACGCCGCTGGGGGTGGCCGGGCAGGGCTGCAGGTAGCAACTGCAGGCACTGCGCAAGGGCCGGCCCCGCTCCATGCAGTTTTGGCTGCGGTGGGGCCGGACCCAGCAGGGTTTGGGCAAGCGGCAGAGTCATGGCCGTACTGTGGCAGCACCAGACCTGCCCCGTGGCCATGGCCGTATGCCCGCTTACTAGCAGATACCCCACAAGCTCTTCATCTGATGGACAGGCTGCCCCATTGGCCACCCTGGGCTTTCCCTAAAACCCTCGCAGGCTTCCTCTGCGCTGCCCACGAGGAGCCCTAGAAGAGCGTAGGCAGCGTCCAGTGTCCTCTCCTGCCCCCCTGCACTACCCCCCCGACTCTGCTCCCCTCCTGCTCCGCACTTGAATGTTCACCCGTGTCCC